ATTGCAAACAGACAGCATTCACATATACTGCCAATAACACACTAATAGTGTTGAATGCTCTTATGAGGCCACAATGAACTATATTCACAGAGGATCCAGCAGTGCCAGCAGCACACTCCCAACAGCACTGATTTACAGCCGGCAGGGGCTACACATTTCATGTCAGAAAACATGCAGGAGGATCACAGTCTTAATTTGTGGCCTGTCCGGTGTTTGAACTCCAGATCTATAGCAAACACTATATTTTACAGACGGCGGTGTATTTTTGAGGAAAGCATTCGTGCTGTTCTTCCAACTTTGTGCATGTGATGTCAAAGAGCTTTTATCTAATCTCTTCCACAAGTTTTATGCTAAACATTACACTGATGCCTGGAGTTGAAAATCACCAAGCTGACAACTGCAAATGTGGAAATGGTGATGGATTCTTTGTGTGAAAATAAACCAATTACCTAAAGCATCATCAGCTTCATCTTCGTCTCCTCCATTTCTTATCAGGACTGTTCCCTGCCGTCATGGTCATGTCTCAGATGGCCATCACCCCACCCCCTGCACTTGTCACTTTAACACCTCGTCCTCCCAAGGCCCTCTCCTCCATCCTCAGCCTCACTCTCACGCTCTTTCACTCTTTCTGTCCTAATGTACTTTCCACTCCTCCCTTAGAGCCCCATCGTTGGTTGCCTCCTTCCTTCCTTCCTTGCAGAGGCACCACTCCCTCGCCTGTCCCCTCATCCATCAGACTGAGTAATGGCCATGGGGGCGGGGAGTCACCCTGCAGCTGTCTGCGATGGACACTGATCACACACACAGTCACTTTGGGCTCAGGGCACAGCCATCCATTTTGTGCATGGCACTCGTCATGCTCAAGAGTGCACTGGACTTCCTGGACTCCAGCAATTACAACAAGCTCAAGTGGTGCACTCCTCATTAAAGGTAAATGTGCTAGCAAACTTCACAAACTCTAAAGTTTCAGACAACAAACAGGCTTAATGCTTAACAATGGAATGCCCCTTAAATTCACCAAAAAAAAAATAAAAATAAAAAAATTATAAGAAATATTGCTGTGAAGAAGACTCTGGTTCTTCACACTTCAGTACAATGAAACCAGGTTTAATGATTTATTTTCTAGCAGAGCTCAACAATGACAACTTCTGGGAATCTGCTTTAACCTTTAGATTCCATTTATACTAACAAAACAAGTAAAAATAAATGCATACACATAAAATTGAATAATGCAGTTGCTTGCATTTTGTTTACTTTATTATTACTTTGTGTCCTGCTTATTGAGTTCCTATCTTATTTTTAGTGTATTCCCACATTTACAACCAAGAAGCTCCATCGTGTGCCATGAGTTAATGCTTCTGAATTTAACAAGGTGCTTTTCTGTCTCTAGCGACCACCAGGAGTGCATTTAAACACAAGCTAATTTTCCAGAGGTGATTGTACGCTTAAATCTGAATAACAGAGACTCAGTGACATATTAAAAGACACTATTCTTTTCTTTTTACTATACTTTGACATTGGGTTACAATTCAGTTCTACTATGGTCTCAGAAGTGCATTTGCGAGCAGTGGCTGGGCACGGCCTATTGAAGGGCACTGGAATGGACTTGCGCTCTATCCTTCGGGTGCTAACCCTCTTAATGATATCTTAATTGCCTTTTTGTTCATATTATGAAATTTTAATGGCCTGCCAAGCTTTTACCTACAGACCGGCCTTAGTCTGTTAGCCCCTCACATCACAGCCGGTTATGATGTCATTTGTCAAAAATTATGTCCCATTTGTCATTTGGAGCCAATAAATTATAAATGTGCCGCTAGTGAAAGGGGAATGACCACTCGTGTTTTTCAAGAAGAAACAACCCAGAATGAAACAGAGAGGCAGCCAAATGCAGTTAACCAAAAGCTCAAAGTGCGGTGGACATTTTTATAGCGGAAATTAATTCTGTGTAGGTTTTTCATGCTAAGCAGTAGTGAGCTGATAGAACAGATCTTTACATAAAATTTGCCAAAGTAGTCACTTATAGTAAATCATCTTTGGAGTGAAGTTACAGACTAAGATTGTATTCTTGCTGTCAGGACACAAAACAAAACGCATAATGTAAAGTGTGGATATAAAAAGCGAGGCTATGGCACTAGGATACCAGTCTTATTTCTTATTTTAAAATTTCAACAATGCAATTTATAACTGGAAACTAACACTTAATCATCCAAGCATAAATGCAAGAGTACTCAATTGTTGTTATCCCTTAAATCTGAGATTTTAGTTTAAAAAATACTTAATATAAATAAACCTATACACAATACAGTACCATTCTGCTACTAAGGGTTGAAGGACAAAAATGCTATTACATGTTTAGGCTGTAATAATGGAACCGGAATTGACTGCAAATTCTACATGCACATTCCCTGATGAACTACAACAAGGATGTGTACAAAACTAAAATGCTTTATAATATGATCAGGAATGTGCCTGTCTTGAGCCCATGAATAAGGAGGACTCAGTGAAGAGAGTTTGGACTGACCTTGGTGAACTCCTCCCACTTCACAGTTGAGCGGACAGGCACTGATTAGCCTGTGATTGATAAGATCTGTAACAGGAAGCCGAAACATTCCCATCTTTGTCAGTGCATTATCTGGAAAAGAAAGAAGGCCATAACAGCATGTCTAACATAGTGCATAGTAATGATTTTGTTTTATCTTTAGATGCTATGAGGCTGTGTGAGCTCCAAGCAGAAAAGGTTTTCTTGTGAGACATGACCTCAGCTTAAGGACTCTGAGCACACTATGTTATCACCTAATGACTCCCTGGATATGATACCTGGAATGTTCACAGTATGGAAAACTTACTACATTTAGTTTGAGAGGCGTCACCACCCCACAGATCTGATGTGTAACGGATGTGTCTGGATGTAGATAGATAAGTTTAAGGCCATACTTTGGAACACTGTAGCTATCAATGGCATCTCCATGAAGACTAACTCAGGCTGTTGAAAAGTTACATCATGCACTAAATCACAGTTGGACCGTTTATGTTCCACTGATATTTATTTAGCCTACACAAAAACAGATAACTACCTTGCAAAAGTTACAAGCTACACGTGCTACAAGCTGCTTTACGCATCATGGTATCTGCAGCAGCTAAACAAATACGACTTTAATTACCACTACCTATCAAAACTGTGTGATCTAATTAATGCCTACCTCGATCGCAGGGAAAAAGAGTTGCTCGGGTTTCTCTTTGCCCACGTGGATGCGTTTCAAAAGGAAGAAAAGGGGCTGACGCGAGGGGGCGACGTTGGTCTCCGTAACACACGCCACGGCTGTGAGAGAGGAGGATGGAGAGGAGCCTCTGACGTGTGCGCGCATCTGTGTGTGTCGTGTGCGCGCTCCCTCCCTCTCTCTCTCCTCGCCTCTTTCTGAGATCCCTCTCTCGTGTCAGCTTGAGTCAGTCACACGGCTACAGCTCAGACATGGCTTCAAATTCATCTAACGTCTGCTCTTTGTTTCTCCTGACTTTTATGATTAGATGCGGGATTCGCGTTTAACTTGCTGTTGAATCCGCGCCACAATGGGCATGTCGCTTTGCATTAACGCCTCATACTTCTCCAGCTCCTCTCCAAATCTGACTTATGTTAATTAGCCTCAATTACTCTCGTTTTCATCTTTTTGTCATCATCCTTTCAAAACTGCGGAACAGTTAGACCCCTGCTATCTGTCTCATTTTCAAGGGGTCCATTTGCATTTTTAATTCACGCATTATGAATTCAATCGGAGTATGATGCAAGTCGTGCACAGTTGAGGCCAGCATGTGAGGGGGTTAATGATAAGATCGGGGAGATAGGGGAACTAATAGGCTTCAGTCTATTAGCAGCATAGAACCAAACCATGACGCTTCATTGGACTGGATGAAAGCAACTCATGTGTAATCTAATATAGGCAACACTGGTGCTCACTACAAGCTCTAATGAACTTGGATCTTTGCATGTTGTATTTCTTCCCCAAATAGGCTATGTGTTGGATAAATCTTTGACTGTGGGCATGGCTACAATCTGGCTCTTCTTAACGGCTGAGGCTAAAATAAATAAAACTTAAAAAAATTAAAAAAAAAAAAAAAAAAAAAAAAGGATAACCTAGGTTAACATGGTATTGTTAAAGATATAGGATGGATGGTTATAGTTGCTTTAGATGTTTGTAATAATCTATGCCAATGAACAAGAGACCGTGAGCAGTGCTGATATTCAACTTTATTCATTCACTAAATGTGTAAACCATTTAATTTCTCCCTCACAGCCCATTCCCGGCCGGGTGGAGAGAGATAGAGCAGCTTGCGCTTAACTGGTTTTGTTAGTCCGGTCCGATGTGAGCCCTAGCTGGCGTCGCAGAGCCCCAATCAGGTGCCATTACACCCGCTGTTTGAGCCTACCATTGGCTGTTGGAGAAAGGAGCTGTGCGCAAAACCAACCCCGCCGCTCTCACTCGCCTTACAGGAGCTGAGCCGCGCACATCCATCCGCTCAGAGTGCAGTGATTCCAGTCTCTCCCGCGGACTGCTGCACAGAAAGATACGGGAAAAGTCCAGCATTTTGTTCAAGTTGTTTCATCTTCAACCCTGCATCAAAGGAACCCCTGGATTCTTTTGTCATTCATGTGGGATTTCTTGAAATTGTTTTTTGTGACTTTATATGAAGCTTATATTCATTATAGGAGTGTTGGCAGTGCGCCCTGGCTCCAGTTTTGCAATGTTTTCGCTGACGCCAAAAACTCTGCAGAATTGATCAAAACAGAGACGCTTGGATCAAATGGCTTTGATTCTCACAAGTGAAACGACACAATGTTCCATTGACGCACAGCAAAGGAGAGGAATTTTACACCGGGATAGCATTGCTGCTGCTAAACCAACTGCCTTTACGCGGACAGGGGACATAAGAAATGCTACATTTCTGTAAAAACTGGAATTAACTTTTTCTACTTTTTGTTTAATTTTGAAGTGCACTTTGCCACGGGGAGATGCTGTGCTTAGTGTTGCTGCTCTCCATCATCAATGGAGCTGCGTCTCAGCTGCACTACTCCGTGCCTGAGGAGCAGGAGACAGGCTCCGTGGTTGGAAATATTGCAGAGGATTTGGGACTAGACATTACTAAACTTTCCGCTCGCCATTTCCAAACTGTGGCGAGTTCACGGACCCCTTATCTGGAGGTAAACTTGGAGAATGGCGCGCTTGTTGTAAAGGAAAAAATAGACCGAGAAAAGATCTGTAAGCAGACTGTCCCGTGCCTATTGCACCTGGAGGTATTTTTAGAGAACCCGTTGGAGCTTTTCCGTGTCGAAATAGAAGTGATGGATATCAATGACAACCCACCCAGCTTCGCCGAAACGGACATTTCAGTGGAAATATCAGAGAGCGCTATCCCGGGTACGCGCTTCCCGGTAGAGAACGCGTTCGACCCAGACGTGGGCTCAAACGCGCTCAATACCTATGCCATCACCAACAATAACTACTTCTATCTGGACGTGCAGACGCAGAGCGACGGAAACAAGTTCGCAGAACTCGTTTTGGAGAAGCCACTGGACAGAGAGCAGCAGGCAGTACACCGATACGTGCTCACTGCTGTGGATGGAGGCGTCCCACAGAGAACAGGCACTGCTCTGCTAGTGGTCAAAGTCCTGGACTCAAATGACAACGCGCCCACGTTTGACCAGTCCGTGTACAGCGTAAATCTGAGGGAAAACTCTCCCGTGGGCACTCTAGTAATCCAACTCAACGCTACAGACGTGGATGAGGGGCAGAACGGGGAGGTAGTCTACTCTTTCAGCAGCCACAACGCTCCACGAATAAAGGACTTGTTCAGCATAGACGACAGGACAGGCAGAATAGAAGTGTCAGGGGAGATCGACTATGAAGAGAGCAACACGCATCAGATTTATGTCCAAGCTAAAGACCTGGGGGCCAACGCAGTCCCTGCGCATTGCAAAGTCCTGGTCAAGCTGGTGGATGTGAACGACAACACACCAGAGATCGGCTTCAGCACAGTGACTGAGTCTGTGAGTGAGCAGGACGCGCCGGGGACAGTTATCGCTCTGTTCAGTGTCTCTGACAGAGACTCCGGTGAGAACGGCCAGATGAGCTGTGAGATCCTCGGAGACGTCCCTTTCAAACTCAAATCATCTTTTAAGAATTACTACACCATAGTCACAGACGGCCCTCTGGACAGAGAGAGCACAGACTCATACACAATAACAGTAGTGGCTAAAGACAAGGGGCAGCCCTCTCTGACCACTAGTAAGTCAATTAAAGTGCACGTGTCAGATGAGAATGACAACGCACCACGCTTTAAGCAGGCGATATATGACGTATACGTGACAGAAAACAATGTGCCAGGGGCATTCATTCAGGGTGTGAGCGCTCTAGACCCAGACATTGGCCAGAACGCACTCATTACATACTCTATATTGGAATGTGATATCCAGGGCATGTCTGTGGAAACGTATGTGTCCATCAACAAGGAGACGGGCTACCTTTACGCGCTGCGCTCTTTTGACTATGAGCAGCTTAAAGAGTTCAGTTTCAAGGTTCAGGCGAAAGATTCTGGCGCAGCTGAGCTCTTCTCCAACGCCACTGTCAATGTAATCATAGTCGACCAAAATGACAACGCCCCCACCGTCATAGCCCCCATAGGGAAGAATGGAACGGCCAAGGAGCACCTGCCGCGCTCCGCTGAGCCTGGTTACATGGTGACGCGCATTGTGGCTATGGATGCAGATGATGGAGAAAACGCGCGACTGTCCTACAGCATCCTGCGCGGAAACGAGATGGGGATGTTCCGCATGGACTGGAGGACGGGTGAGCTAAGGACAGCACGAAGAATATCCCCCAAACGGGACCCACAAGGCTTCTATGATCTCCTCATAGAAGTGAGGGACCACGGGCAGCCGCCTCTGTCCTCCTCCGCCAGTGTCAGTGTGATTCTTGTGGACAGTGTGGTTGAGGGCCGCAGTGGAGACCGCGCCTCCACCTCCAAAGCCAAAGACACTTCTCTGGACTTAACTCTCATCCTCATTATTGCCCTGGGCTCTGTGTCATTCATCTTTCTTCTGGCTATGATTGTGCTCGCTGTGCGCTGCCAGAAGGACAAAAAGCTGAGCCTGTCCACGTGCCTGCTGGCTGGGGACTGTCTGTGCTGTGGCGCGTGCTGTAGCAGACAGGCTCGAGGACGCAAGCAGAAGAAGCTCAGTAAGTCGGACATTATGTTAGTCCAAAGCACCAACGTGACGTCAGGGGTGGGGCCCGTGGGACAGGTGCCCGTGGAGGAGTCGGGTGTGGGCGGAGTGGGTGGGGGATTTGGCTCTCATCACCATCAGAACCAGAACTCCTACTGTTATCAAGTGTGTCTCACTCCAGAATCTGCCAAGACCGACCTGATGTTCCTGAAGCCCTGCAGCCCGTCCCGCAGCAATGACACGGACCACACCAACCCCTGCGGGGCCCTCGTCACCGGATACAGTGACCAGCAGCCCGATATCATATCCAACGGCAGCATTCTGTCCAGTGAGGTGAGAGTTCTTTCTCAGCCTTTTGTCCTTTCATCCAGAATTTGACTACTATTTTTACCCAAATATTTTAAATAACTGTCATGCAGGTACAAAATATGCTGATCCAAATACATCAATATATCTTAAAATATGTGCTATCACCTAACTACAGTGCAATGTTCCAAGACAGTGCCGCACACTGAGGTCATGCACACAGTCCCCCACTGCGTGAGTGGGCATCTGCGCTATCTGTTATTGGCGATTCTGCCCACTGGCCTTTAATCTTTGTCACAGTTAGTGGTCAGGGCAATTAAAATGAACGTGCTTTTTTAGGGTTCTTTAAAATCAAGTTCATATGAGTAAAATAAACATAACAATTGTGAGTGAGTGAGTGAGAGAGAGAGAGAGAGAGAGAGAGAGAGAGAGAGAGAGAGAGAGAGACAGAAAGAGAGGGTGTGGGGGGGGGGGGGTGCAACTTATAGTTTCAAAAAAGCTTAAAGCTAGTATGTCTTAAATGTCTAAACTTAATGTCTTAACTGTCTTAAAATACATTATAAAGTGACACTCACAGAGGTTAAAACATGAAAAGTGTCCAAAATAAATGATCAGTACCTTAGACTTTATTGCTCTACACAAATCCAGCTAAAGTAAAATACTTCTGTCTGTTTTTTCTCTGTTACTTGTCTTTTGTTTATTGACTTATTGGTTTGGTTGGGTTCTGGCTGTGGTAGGGACATACAGCCCAGTTGCAGCCCCCTGCCTTTGCTTTAGTTATTCCACACACGAGCCGGCATGGCAGCACGCGGACAAAGGCTGTTCAGTTTCAGCGTTGTGAGGCTCAATCATTTACGCATTCATTGGCTCTCCCAAACCCACTCTCTCCACTCCACTCACCCACTTATTCAGCCACAGAGAACCGCTGCACCCTCACTGATAGCTATATGAACATTATATTATATTGTGCTGCTGTTGACTAATAATCTAATAATATGTGCATCTCTCTTTCAGACCAAACACCAGCGAGCAGAGTTGAGCTATTTGGTGGATAGACCCAGACGTGTTAACAGGTATAAATCAATATATATGATACTATCAGTCACATGCACTTTGTTTCTTTGTTTCTTTGAATAATTCATCCACACATGATCATGGAATGGTACAGTTTTGTTTGTTGCTTTTTTGTGGCCAGTCCAAAGCCCAAACAAATACAGTGGTTTCATCAATAAATATTAAAGAACTCATGGCCCGATCTTACCAGGTTTGGTCTCAAAAGAAATAAGTAGCGGTAATTAAATTTATTTAGGTAATAGGTAATAGGTGATTCTTTTTTTATTAATTGCTTAAAATTGTAACACATAACTTTTTAGCCAAAAGACAAACATATATTTTCATTTTGGTTTTATTGCAAAATCCTTGAAAATACAGGCATTCTTACTGTGAGTGGGCTTGCATCTCCACAAACCTGACTCAAACCTGGCATTGAGCAGAGCCTCCAACTGCTTGTTGCAATGCTGTCAAATGTTATTGACTTGGATAAAATATTCGACTGTATTACGCAGAACATATCTATTTTTATGAAGAATGTATGGTTATTTTTTTTATTGTTTTTTTTATGGAGTCATATAGGTGAAGTGCCTCCACCAAAAACTGTTGCTTTAAATAATACACAATGTTCAAATTCTCAGTTTACTTTAAACCTGTTGCTTCCTACCACTGCTCCATTGTTAAATCATGTCTTGTCAAGGCTACAGCTCCCATTGTATCGATATCTCCAGTTTGGCACGTGTCCCATCCCTAACAGTGCAGCACTTATTAGAGCACTGGATTTCATTACATGCCACGTGTAACACCCAATTTGGATGCCTGATGACCACCAGCGTGACTGTATTAATTTGCGTCTCATTTAATTCACCCCGAATCCTCTCATTTTCACCATCCTCTCTGCTTCTCCTCTCAGTTCTGCGTTCCAAGAGGCAGATATTGTCAGCTCCAAAGACAGTGGTCACGGAGACAGCGAACAGGGCGACAGTGACCATGACGCCACCAACCGGGGCCACTCAGCCGGTGAGTTATAAACCTCATTTCAAATCATCACTTTCCTCCCTCCAGCAACATCTTTCCAATAGTTTGCAAATGTGAACGGGATGGGAATGCAGGGTTGTTGGTGCGGATCGCTGGCTTTTAATTTCCTTAATTTGTGCCTGGCCCAGTCTGTAGTGGGGCTGCCGGCTGTGTGTTGAGGGAACAACCTCGGAGGTGTTGATTTGGTTGAAAGGAAGCAAGAAAATTTGTTGCAGAAGGTTTTTTGTTTGTTTGTATCTTTTTTTTTTTTTTTTTTTGCTCTGTTTTCTACTTGCTTGTGTCTAGCTAACAACAGAGTGGTGCTGAAAAGGACAGCGACTTGCAGTGAGGCAGTCCCATAGTGCTTTAGTGGCACAAATCAATAGGTCCACTCAAGCGAAAAGGGAAGCCATGGAAGTTAAATTGATGTAATGAGATGCATTTCAATCAAGGGTATGAGTGCCCTATGGTAGATGTAGATGTTGGTTATGAACTTGGTGGTTTCTTTATGAACCCTTAATAAAGCAGAACTAGCCAATTTTACTAATGCTTTCTACAACCCCGCCACGGACCAGCAACTTTGATTTTATTTTATTGCCAAAATGTAAATGTCAACCAGTGTGTAACCTGAAAACACAGTACTTTGAAACTGTTGTCACGGGATTTTTGTCAACCCCTTTATAATAACTACACTTTCCTCAGCCTTATAACAGCGTGAACACAGTCTTAATTCATAATGAACAATAGTTGTTTTTAGGAAAGGGTGAGGATTTGGGGTAAGGGAATTGATTAAGTCATCACTAAGCCTGATTAATTCAGACTCGAATAAACTCTTTGTTGTTCATGCGTTATTAAGACTAGTTAAAGTACAGTTTGCAACTTCTGGAGGTGCTTTTGTTTTAGTCTATTTTTGCCAATTTTGTGGTTAAATAGTTTCAGTTTCAAGTTTAGTTAGTGTAAAAAATTGTATCTGATGGTAGTCATAGTTCACTGTTATTCCCAGTTTTAGTTTTAGATGTATCTTAGGTTAGAAGTGTTTGTGCCTGTTCAGCTGACCTTAATAAATAGCAAATATTAAATCTATTTTTTCTCATACCCCAGACACAGTGTCTGTTGACCAAATTAAAGCCAAATGTATGACTAAACCGTAACATAAACCATGATTCATTTTTGATCTGCCCTCAAATGCAACTTGTAAATCAAAATCAGAGGATGAGATGCTAACATGGGAATAAAATAGTCTCTAGTTCGACCTCTTCCTCAGTTCAATCCTGTTTCAATAAACTATTAGCTAATTGCAGAGCTTTCCCCTAATCCAATAAACAACCATGTAGTCCCATTTAAAGCAAAATGCTACCTTTACAAAATGGCCAGATCGTATCATCTGCCCTGCCCGTGTCCTGCTCTGGAATGCTATTAGGTTAGTACCTGTTTATTGATCACCGTGGAGACAGACAAAAAGTGAAGCAATCCAAAATCTCATTTCATATCGAATTGCCCTTTTCTTTCTGAGGGATTGTTCAAGCTCATGTAAGACCCCCTTGTCTAGACCACTGGCTGCCAAATATCATATGAGTGCGGGGAATACAAATGGGTTAGATAGCATAGGTGTTATAGGCTAGTGAATAGTCTTCATCAGGCTCAACGCTGTTTGACATTATTACTGAAGCCAAGCAAAATAAAGAGACGATAAGGGTTCTCCGCTAAGTGTCACTTCTGGCCCTCACTGATGGAATGGGATGGTAAGGTCAGACCATGCCAAGATTGAGAAGGGAATATGGAGCGAAGCCAATAAACTTCCTCTCTCTCTTTTTATCTACGTAGAGAGTTATCTATATATAAAGTAAAAATGAACTAGTTTAAATATGTATATGGAGAAGAATGTCTAGTCCTGACAGGGAGGGAGCTTGGCTGGCTTTGAAATGTTTTGCGATAAAGAGAACAGTCTGTACCATTAGGAATGTATGAAATGCATCTTAACCTTTCAGAGCTACCAGGCTGTATCTGATACATAATGTCACTGGGTTCAGTGGTGTATTGTAAAACTGATTCTGTTATTTTCCCAAGTGTAGATAATGCCAAAATGAGAATTAGTTTAGATTTTGAGTATACCAGGGGAATCCATATTGCTCATATAGTTGGCATTATCCAGGGCAAGCTGCAACAACATTCATTATATTTAATATCATATTTAATGAGAAAAGCATGGTCCAAAATCAACCTGGCAGGTACTGACTGTGTCTCCCTTGGGTTGACAAATACTTGCACAGCTCCAAAAAACTTACTACTAAAGTGTACTATACATTTTTTCCCATGTTGATATTTTGGGAGTTAATCTGCTTAAAGGTATAATATGTATTTTTATTTATTTATTTATTTATTTTTGGTGGGATGAGGTGTCAGCCACCCACTTCTGTCCATGGATATGTTATCGCTTTGCTTGAAATGTTCCATAGTAAAGCATTAGCCATCTTCATGGAGACAAGTAGGTGATGTCACCAGGTCATATCTGTAGAAAAGCAAGCCTGCTCACAGTAAGTAAACCAGGGGTCTCCAACCTTTTTTCCTAACAGTGAGCTACCTTTACAAAACAAAAATGCCAGAGAGCTACTAATTTTAATGGCCGCAAGAAATTGAGATGATTATAAGAAAGAGAGCGAGCCTTTGGGTACAATTAGATGCCTATAAAACATAAACCATTGTCCATTTATTAGTGCACGAAATTGGGCTTCAAAATTATACATTTACAATGATAATAGGCATGTAATTACCAATGTTTTTGTTATTCAGCACAATGGTATATTTCTAAAATCCTTTGGTGAGCTACTTGGAAGGGAGTGGAGAGCTACTGGTAGCTCTCGAGCTACAGGTTGGAGACCCCTGAAGTAAACAATAAGTTACCATACCTGGGGAAAATTTGCCAGATCACTAACAGAGAAAAACATGAAACACATGGATTGATAGACTGGAAAAATAATAACACAATACATTTGATAAGTCAGTTCATTTGCTTAAAGGAATGACAATCTGAACTGTCAGTTGTCAGTTGATCGTAATATTGGTTTGTGTAGTGGAAGTGGAATTGGACTATACTTGTGCTCTAAACTGAACAAACTTAAAAACAAACAAAAAGAAAATCTCTGCCCTCTCTGCTGTTAATAACTTAAGTAGACTTTAAAGTTTTTTTGTTTTGTTTTTTCTTCAGTAAACTTTCACCATAAGTTAAAACCTAACACTAGTCTCACACTTTTGACGACAACTCTTGTGTGAAGTCAGACTGTACAAATTTGTCCTTCACTTTCTCCACTTATAAGTCATCAGTGCAGACTCTTGAGCAGTTCTTGGCCCGCGCCTGTTGTCATTTGGCACGGGTCTGATCGGAGCACCCGCAGTCAGCGCTGGTCCCTGCTTCTCGCGAGGACACCCAACATTTGTTCCTCATGTTGGATTTAGCAAAGGAACAGCTTACCACTCGACGGGAGGTAATATCACGCCACTGGTATTTTGGAAAGAGAGACACTCCAGTTCTGCAGACTTTTGTAAACAAACCCAGATGGCCTTGTGTGTGAGAGCGCATGTGGATGGCTCTGTAGGTATATCATTGTCTGTTTTATAAAGTTACAGACGTAGTGTTCTTTTCGAATAGTAAATCAAGCAGCAAAAGAAGTCAAAAGGTTCTATATTATGCAAGACTTTGGTGCACTTTAAGCCATATTAGAATGTTATTGCCTCATCAAAAGCATACCTGGAGTTTTGTTTTGTTTCATTCACACATATTTGATAGTAATCCTTTCTTATTAGTAAGAAAGTTAGATCTCAGCTCAATCTCAAAATGCTCTGTTCCACATTTAATGATTCTAGTGAAGGTGCATGTAGTTTAAAAACACAGAGGAACATACCTGAAATCACAAGAAGAACTCAGCCTCAATATGCAGGATTTGTGTTTTAAACAGGTGTAAATGAGACAAAACAACTCCAGGTATTAGTGATGTAACAGTAACCGAAATATCGTGATATCGTATCGTCAAAGTTCTCACAAACATATCGTGGACCATCACAATATATCGAATTGCAAGTCTCTGCTTGAATTAAGAGTTTTGGTGCAGCAATAGAAAAAAATAAACATAAAAACAGAGGGAACTACATAGACCATGATCCTTTGCTCCATTTCAGTGCAGACTACAAGAAGAAATAACAGTTCTAAGCACTTTTAAGTCTTAGTTCTTTGGATTAAGTCTTGTCAAGGGATTTTAAAAGGAACAAGTAGCATATTAACAGTTTTGTTAGCCTCCATAAAATATCGCAATAAATATCGTACCGTGAGATGTATATTTTAAAAATATCATACTGAGACATTTGGATATTGTTACGTCCCTAATCATCATCTCCACCATATCATGAGCTTTCCCAAGATATCGCAATAAATATCGTACCGTGAGGTTCATACCGTGACAATATCGTATCGTGAGACTTGGATATCGTTACACCTCTACAAAGTATGTTTGTGATCAGGAAACAGCATTATAACAGAGACCAGAAAACGGCCCTTTTATTTGAGATATTATGCAAAATCAGCTTTCCACCTTATACATATAGAAAGGTGGGGTACCTGACTTTTCTTGTAAATGAGTAAATCTTTCCCCACAGGGTATATTGTAAAAGCACATTATGACAAAGTTGGACCACTGCACGCTGTCGGCATCTAATAATAAAGTACTTTTCCGACTGCAAACCCAGAGGTAAGACTGGAATGCCTGAGTTAGTGGTCTACCCTTGCTTCACTTCATAATAAAACAAAATATCGGCCCATCTGTAATTCTTACTTTGAATGAAAAAAAGCTGTTCCAGAGTATACATTCGATAAGTCATACATGTGAACATAAGGGACGTGCCAAAGGGTCGTGTGAGAGCTAGGAACTAATCAAAACAAAACAAGACACCTACATTACTTTTGAAAATAATGCAGCTTTAAACAGAACACAGTAATTGGTATTTCGACTCAT